AGAGTGAAGTTCTCCTTCATGTCATGCCAGATTAGTTGAATAAGGTGAATTGGTGGCAGTTACTTGTTTCTGTCATGTGGTGGCAATCACTTGTTTCTTTGTCACCCGAGAGACTACACATGCGCACGCCAAGGGGAGAAGATTTTCTAAGTATGTAGGGACTCCTTTGAAAATTTTAATGACTTGGCACCTTACATGCTATACTTGATGCATTTGAAATTTTTAGTGACAAATGATGTGCACAAAGTCAAGCATTGGTTGGATTAAAACTAGGAGCTTTCAAGGATAATATTGTTTAAACTATTACATTCAAAAGGAAGATCTGCATGACATTGTTGATGATTGGCGGGAAAAATGCTAAATAGATGGGCCAAAGCAAAAAGTAGTTGCGAGTTTGTGACCTATTTGGGACACACAACAGTTGACCAAAACAACAATAAGCCTTTCAAACTACTTTTGACATTTTCCAGAATTTGAGACTTTAGGATAAAGCAGTGATTAACAAATTTCTTGATATCCCTTCATGTGAAGTTGAAGGTAACCAACTAAGGAATTCAAATGGATAACCGGCTTAAAAATGAGGAGTGGGCTACACATGTTTATTGACTATGTATATCACGTAGTGATGCCGATAAAAAGAAATTACTGCAATGCTAACTGCACCAATCAGTGATTGCTTTTGAAAGAATGCATTATATCTTTTGTAAGATGCTACATCTTGTCGTATTAATGAGTAGTGTTTGCCAGAGACAAGGGTATGCACATCTTACCTATTCATATCTTTTCTTTGCACACAGGCCACCCAATCCATATCTTTTTTTTGCCTTCCACTGCAAATATCATTGTGTCTAAACCAGGTTTAGATCCATCATTTTTTTGTTGATTTATAGTTTCTTACAGCACTGAGATTTACCATTTATGAATAGTGTAATTAATGATCGCTTTTGAAAGACTGCATTTTATCTTTTGTAAGATGCTATACTTCTTAGGTATTAAACCTAAGAGATTTAGAGATTGGGTTGTGAGTCCCTAGATCTCCAATTCCATCATTCTCATTTTCACAAATGTCTTCTTGCCTCGAACTTTTGTAGGTATGAGAGCCTAAATCCCAAACTCTAATTGTTATTTTCACCCCCCAAAACCCCTACATTGTGCATCTCTTATCACGTTGCATCAGTCACCACTTGGTTTGTATGTCGGCAGTCATACGCCATCTCATGAGACTCATTTGACACGAGCCTTCTCAATTATTGTACCCACTTCAAACGGAACTTGTATAAATTGTCATTGATAATCGATTCACCTACTTTGAGAACTGTATGAACTTCTGTTACAACCTAACTTCAATTGTAGCTTTCTATAGTCCAAACTCTAGGTCTCCAAACTTGAGCAATCTTTAATCACGCACGATTCTTAGTGCAAGTCAAAATCCTAATTAATTCCTTAATCCGGAACCCTAAATTATATAACACATATTAATCATGTATGCCTCGTCCTTGCCGGTTTATGCTATTTGACCTTTGGCTTGGAATGTTTGGGATCAATCATATATTCTATTTGCATTTTTGGGTTATTTTGGAAGTTTGAAAAGATTTAAGGCTTTTTTATAGTCAGTGAAGAATTCTTGCAATTTCCATAAGTTTTTGGGTTGGTTTGTGTTATATTCAGAAGGGTTAGGTTTCTTCCTTAATTTTCGAGAAGTTCAACATTTGAAGGTTGTAACATGTCTGTTATTGATTTTTGTTGCTGTTGCCACTGGAAACAATTACCTGTTTTGCCTTTAGGTCACCTCCTTCAATGTGATCTCTTATTATGCAATAAGAAACAAGGTTAGAAGTTCCTATTTACTTACATGTTAATATATTATCTTTGTAGTTAATATTATTTCTTATTATATTTATTGTTTTGTCAAAAGTTGAAAAACAAGCCAAACATAACCATCTTTACATCTTTGTTTAGTCACAGACTTGCTTGAGTTAGGGCACTTAGGGACCGTTTACCCAACTCTTACCCGGTAAGCTCTTATGGTAAGATTTAACACTCACTTAACTTACGGGGCAAGATTTTAATTTATTAAAATGACATTGTATGCAACATTTTTATCTGGTAAGTGCTTATCGGGTAATAGTCGTCACTCTCACTTACCGAGTCAGACTCTCGGTCCTTGTCATTGCTCTCTTATGGGGTAAGATTCTCAATCTTTGTCATGTTCATTTGATAAGGTAAAGTGACCGGTAAGCACTTACCAAGTAAGCACTTACCATGTAAGCACTTACCAGGTAAGCGTTTAGTAACCGGCCCCTTAATCTGTATGTCATTGTTTGATGTGCTAGAAGTTTTAGTGCCATCATTTGCTTAGTTGCATCTTGATTCCATTTTCAGAGCATACCTTTTATTTTTGTAGGATTTTGTTTCTTAGTATATTTGTATATTCATTTTTCTCGTACATTGTATTACCTATTGACAGCTCCCTCGGGAGTAACTGATATCAAGGAAGAACAATGAAAGTGTCTATAAGTTCTACTTTAGAAAGTATGACCTCGATATAGAGGGAAGTCACATATAGTTGAGCACTCCAAAGATATGTGGAAGGATTTTATAACCTTGTTGGGGGTAATGCAAGGTCTAATCCTGAGAGTAACAATAGAAATTATGTTCACTAGATTGGTTGTTATCAAGTAGAAATCATGTTGATAACCTTGTTAAGGGAGGTCGTCCTTTTGGGGATTTCTTGCCCTCACGTTTGAGTGTTTGCTCGGGTTGTAGGACCACCCAGTATATGGAATATTTTGAACTCACAGTATTATAAAGAAAATGTGGTTTGAGAGTGTTATAGACCAAGAGAGGATATAAATAAACTTCAGTCAAAATTGAAATTGACGATTCTAGGAGGATCAAAGGTAAAGCATCCGTGTTTGATGGGGAGACTTGATCATAGTGACTTTCGAGGATGATTGTCCAACATGGATAAATAATGCTCTCAACGGCCTAATAGAAATAGCTATGTTTTGTATCAAGAGATTGGGGCAAATTGAGATTGAGGAAGTAATGGAGGAAAAAGATGTAGCAGGACGCTAGAGGGAACAGTTGCCCATGTTGTTGCTGAGAATGAAGATGGTGCAGATTTAGTCCTCAAGTGAAGGGAAGTACACTTTGATGTAATGAAGTGTAACCTACAAAACTGAAGGTGATTTTAGAAGTACTATATGTTTCACACTGGCATGATAGAATGGATATGTCTACGTGGAAGTTCCCATTGACAATAAAAGTTGTGTAGATGTGCCAATCATGCATAGTTTTTAACTAATAAGGGTTGGGTTCCGGTGAGAGAGTTAAGGTGAGAAGTGTATGAAGGGTTTTCCACCCTTAGATGCACATTAGGATGAGATGCATCGGATCCATCCCTGTATCAAACGCATTCATGGGTGGGTTTGAGATTAAAGGTGATCAAGGGTCCACATCCCTTCTTACCCTTCTCACCTTTAACTCTCTTCTCACACGATCCTTCGCCTAACTAATCTACCTTTGGTACACCTCTACAATTTCTTTACATGTGCTCAAGGCCAATGGCAATGATTAGTTGCTAATATAAATATTGATTGAACATGCTTAGTTGATATTTATATTCTTGTTAAATTATTAATTGATGATTATTTAATTGAATGCATTATATATTGTTATGGTTGATGTAGATATGTTAATAATGCTTTAACTGTTTCTTACTTTAATGAAATGCATGCCTTAGGGACACCTTTGCACCTCATGTACTATACAACACTTGTCTTATTCCCAACCAGTGTTAAATAACCCAATTCCATAGGTTCATTGCATGGCACCTAAGCTTGATCTCCAATAGTTTATGCAGTTGTGAGTACCTTCTTTATTCTTGAATATGGCAAGGTACTATTTCTTCAGTATTCAAAAGATATCTTCAAGATAACATTAAATAATCTACTGCCTCATACTATGCCTACCTGTCATTGGCTCTTTAAACCTCGATATGAATAATACGATGTTCAACAACTTTATGTACTTTCGTCTGTCTTGGTGCTCATTTCATTCACTCTTCTACCTACAAACCATAAGCATCATTAAAAGACATCAATCTCTTTTTCACACACTTTTCACTATCCGAGGGTCTTAACCTAAACAACCGCACTATCTTTTAGGGTAGATGTCAGGTGTATATACATCTTAATCCTCCTCCCCACCCAAAACACACACACACACACACACATCTTCGAGTGGGATATACTGGGATACTGGGCTCGTTTGTTTGGTTTGGTTGAGAGGACATCAATTTTCCAACCATTTTCGATCAGCAATCTATCAAATAACCCTTGCATTGTTCTTTTACCTCATTATCTTTGACCCTTGGGTCTTTTGTTTGTCTCCGTCATGCATTTTATTGACCTGTGTCTAACCGTTTTCCCCTTGATTTTGCCAATTTGTATATTATCATTTCCTTTTCTTTTTGTTCTTAGTTTCTTGTACAAATCCTCTTATGGGTTACTTCTAGCTCCTCTTGATGCTTTAATAGCCTCCCTGTTGTCTAGTTTATACTTTGTCTTCTCCATACTCTAGTGATAGGAACTTATTAACATTCATTCCGCTATGATGGTAGAAAATAGTTTTGAAGCCTTCTTTTGACCAAGTACTCTATTAATTTTTTTTATAATCTTGGGTGTCTGAGCCAGCTTTATGCGCATCTCGAATAATCTGTGCCCCTGAAGTTAATAGCTCGGGAAATCCTCCAACATTTATGAGATGACTTGAATTGGTGACTCTGGGGAACAAACTCAAGTTCTTTACCTGTTGAGCTACCAAAAAACCAAACGCACCCAGTAAATCTACTCTAAGTAGGGTCTGGGGAAGATGATGTGTAGAAAGATACTCTTGATGTAAATAACATTCATCTAGAATGATTTTTGCATTATTTTTGTTGGTAGCGAGTAAAATTCAGTGCTGCATTCTTATTATTATTGGTTTGAGATTTTCAGGAAGCGGCTTTTCCAAATGATAAACGATCTTCCAACTGTCTTTGAAGTTGTGTCTGGAGGCGTTAAAAAACCCAAGGATCAGACTGAAATTCAAAACAATGGCAGTAAAAGCAACAAGTCAAGTGGGAAAACTGTAAGACCTCAAAAGTGTCATGGTCTTGTTTTATTGACTTGTGATTTTTGAACAAATATTGTGTTTCAATAAATGCACCAGCAGTCAAGGCCATCGGGACTTAAGATGACTCCACCACCCAAAGACGATGAGAGCGGAGAGGAAGAAGATGATGATGAACAAGGAGCAGCCCTTTGCGGAGCTTGTGGCGACAACTATGCAACCGATGAGTTCTGGATTTGCTGTGATATCTGTGAGAGATGGTTTCATGGCAAATGTGTCAAAATTACGCCTGCCAAAGCCGAACATATCAAGCAGTACAAATGCCCGAGTTGCAGCAGCAGCAGCAGCAGCAAAAGGGCTCGACTCCAGGTTTAGGCTTATGAATATGACAAGTTTTTATGGCATCGGTTTTTGATTGATGAAACCGAACCCGAATCTACGGTTGTTTGTGGGAACCTAAAAATCAAGTTTAAAAGGAACACCAGACTGGCTCTATATTATATTATTATAGATTGCTGGATTTTGTTTAGGGCCAAAATTAGACCATATTCAGTTTGTGACTTCATGGTTGGTGGTAGATTTGGTTTTATACTTGGTATTTCGGTTTTGATGTTTGGACCTCTTTCAATGCCAAGCCTCGGCTCAACTGTGGTCTGGAAAAACCCATATTTCGTTTTGTTTACCAAAAAACGGGTTTGGAAGGTCTAGATCCGAGAAAGGATGGGCTTATATGTCTCTAGGTGAATTTATGCATTGTCATTTATGCAAGTCTCTAGATGACTCAGTGGTCTAGAGTAGAGACTGATTGTATTATGGATAGGTGGTTTAAGGATGGATTGGGTTCCGGTGAAATGAGAAGTGTAAGAAGAGATCTTCATTTTTGAATCAATCCTAATTGAATGTCAATGCTAATGAGATGTATCAGATCAATTACCTGTGTAATTTGGGTGGCGTGAGATTAAAAGTGATCAGGGTTCATATCCTTTTTTACGCTTCTCATATTAACTGTCATTTTCATACGATTCTTTGCTTTCTAAGGATTAATAATGTCTTTTTACATAATCATTCTCCTAATGATTATAACAAAAACTGATTTTAAGAATCGGTGTCAATTTTAATGGTTTACTACTTAGGAATTGTTATCTATTAAAGTGGTTGTGAGCATAATTACTTAATTAGAAACTGGTTTTTTATAATTCATAATTTACGTCGATACTTTTACTTATATACATTGAATATTATGTATTCTTAATAAAAAATTGTCTTATATTACGTACTGTTTTTTAATTATGTTTATAAAGAATGTATGAATAATTTATTAAATGAGATTTTAATTATAAAACATACAGGTTGTTTACCTGAATTTTTACTTGATAAGAATCAACACTTATTTTACCAGATAAGATCGTAGTCCATCGAAATGATATCATATGTAATAATTTACTCGGTAAACGTTTATCAAATAAGAGTCGTTATCCTCATTTATGGGGTAAAGCTTTCATCTTTATTATCATTCTTATATGATAAAATTCTTTTTTCCATGTTCATCCAATATGGTAAATGCTTACCGAGTAAGCATTTAATAAACACCTTCTGATGTTACTACTATTTTTTTATATATTAAATTATAACACAATATAAAGAATATTATGATACAAATATGTCTCAGTTAATGTAGATCTTTTTATTAATAAATTAAATATACGTGGATATCATACAATGATTTTATGAAACATTAAAATTTAAATTAAGTTCTTTAAAGCATAAGATATAAATATTTATTTATTGAATAAAACATTTTATAAATTAGAATAAAACATTTTATTTAATCAATTAATTTATTTTCTAGAAGTTTTGTAATTAACAAAATTGTTTGATATTAAGTTACAGTAAAAATATTTAATTATTTTGTTATTATGTGATTAAAATATAAAACATTTAAAAATCATTTTCAATAAAAAGTAATTTTTTGAATAAATTTTAAAGTTCAGTTAGTAATCGAAAATTGATTAGAAATATGGAAACTGTCCACATTTCACATCGTGTTATATATTTTTTTCAGAATAAAGATTCATCATGAATAACATATTAATAATAAATACAAAGGTGTTATTTTTTTATGAATTAGACATTCATAATAAATGTGTGATTCGTAATGAATAACATGTCCATAATCGTGATGCATATGCCACGTGTCGTGCTATAGATAGTCTCCCGACTCCTAATCAATTTTAGGTTTCTAACGAAACCTGCTCCTACTCTCTCTCTCTCCCCCACACACATGCACACACATACACATACATATGAGGTTCAAATGAGAAGACTAAATATTTTTTTATTAACTGTGGGTGTCCGTGCGAACTTGCTTGCACCTGAACTAACCCCAGGGAGTGGAGAATGGTCAAAAAAAAATCCCCAATAGTCTTACAAGATTCGAACCGGTGACCTCTTAGGAGAATTCTTAAAGGTTCAAGACTTATTGCAAGTTGAGTGGGAGGGGAAAGTTCAATATACGAATTATTGAAAAATCCATTTGAAGCATATGTGAACCCATATGGATAATTTGTAACGTAAGTTTATATATGCGTATTCAAACAGTTCATTTTCATTTTTTCAATGAGTCACATATATATATATATATATATATATATATATATACTTTTCTTTATTACTAATTTGTATTATTTAGGCTGTTTGTAAAAGAAGGGGAAAGAAGGGGCTTATGAATTTGTATTATTTAGACGGCTCTGAAAAAACCTAGAAGAAAAAAGAATCGAAAACTTATGCGAACCGTTAAATCGAAATCATTTAATGGATGTGATTAAAGGTGATTATAACCACCTTTTTAAATTAAAAAAATGTTCCCCGTATTTTTTTTAATCAAAAACCGTCAAAATGTAATCTAATTGAAAGTGAAACTAATTACACAAAAAAACAATCGTTTTATTTCCTTTAATTTGACATTCATATCGATATTTTTTTTATCCATTTATGCGGTTCTTTGGTTCTCTCTTTTTGGGGTTCCAAGGTTGAGATCAAATGAGAACACCTTGATTCAAGAGCCACGAGAACACCATGAAACGTAATAAAATATATAACAATATGAATGTGAAATTAAAAAGAACAAAATACTTGTTTTTTTTTTTTTTGCATAATTTGCTTAACTCCAATTTTTGTTTTATTTACATTTTTCGTCCTTGTGGTTTGTTAATATAGCGATTTTCATCTTTGTGGTCTTAGAAATTGCGTTTTTCATCCCTGTGGTTATTCTTTGTTATTTTCGTCCCTATGATTTACGATTTATTGTTTCTTTGGTTCTTGTGATTTATAATTCTTTACTGTTTTGTATATTGCTTACAGATAAGAAATAGTCCAGGGATAAAAATAACAATAAATTGTAAATCATAGGAACGAAAATCACAATTTTAAACCACAAAGGACCAAAATCAAAATTATTAACAAATCACAGAGACGAAAATCGTAATCAACTATTTATGTTTAGGATTGGATCTAGGGATGGTGATTTGCCCCGACCCGAATGGGAACGAGGATTCCCCGCCAAAACGGGTCCTGGGGCCGGGGATCCCCGGTAGACACAAACTAGGGACGGGGCCGGGGACGGGGGATGTACTCAAACCGGGGACAGGGCCGGGGACGGGGGATGCACTCAAACCAGGAACGGGGCCGGGGCCGGGGATCCCCTGTAGAATTAAAAGAAAGGATACTATTTACGGGGTTTGACCGGGGATCGACCAGGGTTTTACTGGGTTTTGACCGGGATTAGTAGATATTTGACTGGGGACGGAATAATAATCCCTATACCCGCCGGGGACCGGGGCTGGGGCTGGGGCCGGGGGACGTTACTACAAACCAGGGCCGGGGTCGGAGATTACAAAACCGCCGCATCCTCGCCCCGTTGCCATGCCTAATTGGGTCTTTGTAAGACCAACTACTTTTTATGGGAGTGTACAACACACTATGAAGGTATGGTGTGTTATTTCTATTGACCATTTATTGCGGTTTTTGTTTTTGATGTGAAAGTTCAAAAAATTTCATGTCAATATTCATAAGCTTTTCAATAATGTGAAGATTCAGAGTTTTGCTGTAAAGGTTCGTTGTTATTTAGTACTATGGTTCTTTGATGATAAAGAATAAAAAATTCTTCAATGGACTCACCCTTATGTCTCGCTGAGTCACTGGTTACGTCCATTTCCTCTTAACCAGACTCGTCTATAAAAGGACTGGTCGAGATCCAAATTTTGATCATCTTTAGTTTAAAAAAAAATACAAAGTCTCTAAATTTTAGGAACATGCTCTAATGGTCGTGTGATTCGTGCTTATTACACGTTGCTAACAACAAATATGTGAGTGTGTAATAATTGCGTCAAGAAAATTGGAGCGACTAGGTAGGAGGTAAAGGTCATCGTCAAATTGGTTTTAAGAAAAATACTTTTATCTTCCACCTATCATAAAATTAAATGAAATGTTATAACTGATTTCCATCTTTCAAAACCAACAAATTCAATACAGCCAAATGACACGTCAATCCTCGGGTTTTTGGTGTCTTCAGTGGGAACACTTCAAAGTGCCTTCGTTTAAATAAACACACACTTATATTTGGTTTTATAAACGATATTGAACATGATTTTACAGAGAAACAAATCCACACCTAGTGCATCTAAAATATAAAGAGCTACAACATTCAAGTGGTAAAAGTTGTATGATTATCTGTTAGGTCCCCCCTCCTTAAACCTTTTTACAACTGGTTTTCTTTTAATTTATTTTGTAATAGCATGCTAGCAATAATGAACCTAGTGTTGAATAAACCATTTTAGGCTTCAGGCCTGTTTCGGTCAAATATACATGAATATTTGGTAATAATTTATTAATATAAAAAATGGTTTATTCAGCATTAGTTATCGAAAGACAAGTTTTTTTCAAACCTGTCTCTCTTGATCAAAAAACATGCTCATTTCATCATGAAAATCTCTTTCAAACAAAAACCTTTTGAATCTAAACAGTTAAATTAACCCATAAAGACAGTTTTATCCATAAATGATTTAATAAAAATTTATCCATCAGTACCGTAGCATATCCTGGACTGTGCCCCAAACCACCCACCCCGGCCCTAGGGCCGGGCCTCCCAAACAGTATTGAGTAGTCATCAATGGCCTATCGGTATCAAAGTCAACCTTTTGACTACTTAACCACGTTATAATTGAATATATGTAAATACGATAAAATAAATTTCAGATCGAAATATCTTAAAAACCATATTTTTTTTAGGAAGGTGTCAATTTAAATTTATTTATTCCTTAACAATCATTCAAAATATCAATGATTTTGTATTTTGTCATAAATTCACATATTTTATTGAAAAAATATATTAATCGTTTAATAGTTAGAGGTGTCAACAGATAAAAAGTATTTATGAACATTCAATATCCAGTCAACAAAAAATAAAAATATTAATATAAATATGCATATCACTTTGACTGTTTCTTTAACTTCATTTGAGTGAAAGTAGGCGTCAACATCATACACCAATTGAAACAGAATCACAGAGCTTGTGGATATATATATATATATATATATATATATATATATATATA